TTTCCATCTCCAGTCCCGGCAGGCCAATCACTATGTTTGGAGTTGAGCAAGTGCTCCTGGGATATCTCAATGCAGCGGACATTGTCAACCAGGCTTCTGCAATTGCAGTCTGCATGTGCACAGCATGGCGCCATCACGAGGGGTCGGAACTCCAGTACGCGCTGCTCCTGCAGAAAACGGCCTTTGCATTTGGCCAATGCAGACCAATGGGTGGCTTGTAACCAACGCGCACATTCAACTACTGGGCTGCCTGCAGTACTGCAACCAATGCCGAAACCTCAGCTTCTTTTGCATGCGATGAACCAGCACGAACGATATGCATAGTGGAAAAATCTTGATACTCGTCTCTCTGCAGTTGAAGATCATGCTGACCTTTCGCCGCTCGGCTATAATGGGCGGCCCCTCTTGTGTGAGAAACCGCTCTGGATCCCAGGCCTGCGAAGACGAGGGTTCCCAACGTGTCGTGTAGCATCATGACTTGCGGAGACGGATCAAACTCACAGACCGTAACGGCATGCTGATTGGAATCAGAAATCGAATCCTCGACGGCCACGCGACATCTTCAGACACTCAAAACCCGAAGGATCTTTAAAGGGTCTCCATGGTTCAGGATTGCATGCTGTGATACCACACTAGGACAACATGCAAAGCACGAAGTACATCTGGCCAATACACGAAACGAAAAGGAAGTGCAACAGAGTGAAGTTCCATTGCACCTGCAGCGTGGCTGCGCGCTCAGTACACCACGCAACACCTGGGACAGCGGGATGTCTTGCTCTCCCCTGCTAACTTCTCAGCATAAACAGTGGGTCATGGCTGTGTACTGCAGTCAGAAAGCGATCTGCAAGTGGCAACGTGTCGTTGCGCGTTTGGCGAGTTTGCGTGTCCCACGATCCTTGGGAACTACTCTCGACTGACATCAGACCATGTACAAACCATGACTGACATAACTTCAGATGATGACTTCGGGCGTTTCGGTTGAGCAACCCAGACAAGTCTAGCTAATGTAAATAAACATGCGCATATATATATATATATATATTTATGTTATAATATATACAATGTGCCAGAATGGCTTAACACAAGCAGATATCATATGCATTTGCGTTCTCTCTGCATAATGCGAGAAGCAGTCTCAAGGATTCGGAGGGCGCCCGCACAGAAAGAAGTGCCCTCGTGATGCGACTGAATTGTGCCTAGAAACAAGTTTCCATGATCCAAAATTCTTTGTGTCCATCATTCTAGCAAAGTGGAAGAACTTTAAACCCTGCAAGAGCCAGGAAACGCAGAAGCGCCCAGCCGCAGCAACGAGGAAATGCACAATTGGATGCCTGCAAAGGCACAGCACGGCCATTACCCGTTGGACTGTGCAACACAGCTTTTTCCAAATGCTTCAAGCTCTAAGTCACTCTTCAAACTTTGAAACCCACTCAGGGCTTGCGCATGCCCTTAGTGGGTCTGAGCCAGCAATCACAGCTAACTACATGCCGTCTTGGAATAGGTCCTACAAGAATCCACCGAAATCCTGCTGCGAGCGTCATGTCTTTGAGATGTGCTGCAGGCAGGCCGCATCTTCTGAAAGCAGGCCCCTGGAGGCAACGATAGCTTCAGCAGCCTCATCACAGCTGAGGCTGGAAACACCTGCACCCGGTTCACGCTCTGTGCTAATGCGCATGACTGTGCATCTTGGAGGCTAGACACATTGCTACACACGTTGAAAGGTGTGAGCCGGAAGCATCGAAGATCTAGAGCACTTGGAACCATTTGCGTAGATGCCGATTAAGCAACTCAAGCGCCCAAGACGGTCCGGTCTGAAATACATCACAGCATGAAAGCAACTGTGAAGATCACTTCAACGCACGCTCAAACTGCGCAGGTGAAAAGGCGCTTTAAGAAGCCTGAGGCACCAAGCGAAAGCTGACATGTGTATGCGGACTGTACATGCATGTGTTCGCGTCAATACCCCGGTCATAAGACACCTGGAGAACCCTGGAGACGGAGACAGAAGTTCACCGAACGTCAACATGTGTTGGCCCCCAAATTTCCATGTTTCAAACTGTCACCTTGAAATGCTTGAAGACTTCCACCAACTGGCGACTTTGTTGCAGACCCCAAAATGGGTCTAAAATGGGGTCTCAACTGGTCGGCCGTGATCTGCTGAATCCGTTTCAGAGCATTCGTTGCATATCAAGAATCTGCTAGGGCGTTACAAAAGAGTAAGGAGAGTCATGCTGATCATACGGGGGTCTGAGATGGGTAGGCTGGGAAGGATCCAAAATGGCCCTGCTACTACAGACCCCTTGTTATTCTGACCCTGAACAGTCACTAGTTCCTGTTAAAGCATGCGTGGAATCACCATGATCCCGCCCGTGCCACGACTTCCAAAACAGGCATTGCATTCCATTCCGGAAGCTGTGCTGCGCTGAAGCTTGCAGCTCGTTTTGTCTTATGTTATCCCGGGAACATCAGAAGAGCCAGACGCAGCATTGGATGCAGCGATCATTGGACACCATCCAGTTTTTGAGTGTTCGCGCAAAATTTGTCTCAGCTAGGTCGCGTTGCTGCGCTGTCCATGCTTCTGCTGCGCAAGCTATAAGCAGTCGCCGGGCTTCTATGGTAAGCTTCATGGTGGCATGCTCGCTGCTCGGCACTGTGACTCAGGCTCGCTTCAGTGGCATCATGCAGCTCCGTCCTGGGGTGCACCATCGCACGAAGGCGGTGCAGTTGGTCAGGTCTCGGTTGCCTGCAAACTCAGGTCCCAAGGAGGGCTGTAAATGCGCAGGGGCAAACTGTCTGGCCAGCTCCCACACGCATCCAGATGCTAATTTGCCATCAAGCTTCGAGGAGGCTCATGTCCACAGCACAGCTCGTAACTATTGAAGGCGTCCCAGCAGTGAACAGATCCTGACCGTGTCTGCGCATGAGCGTACCACACTTCAAGATCATTGTTGCTGAATGGAACTCTTCAACACCTCTTTCTGGGTATGCACCATCCTGAGAACGGCAAGCTTAATCCCAACGAGAAGCAAACCAAAAGAGGAGACTGAGAGCTAGAGGGGAGTTCAATCCTGCTCCCCAAATGCCAGATGTCACAAATCAGTCTACAAACTAAGCCATCACAACTTTGAGGTGTTTCGGGCAGCGAGACGTGAAAGAAGCCGCTCTCCCCACAAAAGTGCAGCCTGAGCTCCAGAAATAATATCACTTCGAGCATGACCACCCTATCCCAGAATTGTCACCCCATATATCGATTTAAACATTTATCGCAAATGAGTCGTTCTACATATGGCTTGTGTAGTCGGGGACTTCCTTTCCAGCCTTCACAAGCTGATTAGGACTTGATAAGATTTAAATTTCTTCTCAGAAATTTGAAGGCCGTTGCTGCCATGGCGGATGCAATTGATGGAAGGCACGGCATGTTGGTTTGCTATAGAAGCTTTAAAACGCCTTTCTACAGAAACACTGATTTCAACAGCCACAGGTTTCAGATGCTGCATTGCACAGAGACCGTCTTCTGACATCCACTCATTGCTCTTGATAAAATGCCCGGAATGCTGTTTTTCACAGAAGCTGCGAAAAAATGCTGGTTTTCACAAAGGCTTCAATACTCAACCAGTTGCGATTTGAAGCTTTCCTACGAATTCAAAAAGGCACAGGCCACAAACAAAGCGCTTGCCTGAGAGTAGCCCAATTGCATTTTTGTAGGTCAGCTGATGAATTACGGCCCAGTATGCAGCTGGAACTCCCTTGGATTCGTGAACATTTGCTTTGGGTCACCTGCCCGCGCTTGTCCAACGAGATTTCTCTGATGCGCATCTCTGTATATCCAGGAAACCCAGTCCCCTGATTTGCCAAGATAGTTCAAGTAAACCATACACAAGACTGAACCCATTCTGAGCAAAGCTTCCTGCTGGTAACATCAAGCACGGTCTGCATAACGATTAGCCAGGGAAAAGTCTCAGGCTGCTGCGTTTGAGGTTTTGATTTCTTGCCCAATTACGGCATGGCCGAAGGTTCAGCGTTTGGTGTAGGTTTTACGATTTTCTTGGTTGGCTTTTGTGGTTTTCTCATGGACTTTTCACTGTGTTCTCACCGGCATGACGGAGTGGAATGTTTGCGTTAAACGCATGTGGCTTTGGTCATATCCACGACACAAACGGGCTGGTGCGCGCCAAATAAAGGAGGTAAGTAGCGAAAGCTCAGCTGAAACGGGAGAGTCAACCAAGCTACAGTAATGAAACAGAACCAGCAAGACACATCCACTCCACCAACTTGTCAGTGCCTTCCATCTAAGGTCAATCAAACGCAATGACAGTAACTAAATATGTCACCGCAATTTTACAAGTTGCCCCAAACTGCCACATCACCTCGCAGTCTCCTCCTCCCGTTCTTCTTCCATGGTTTCTGGCCTACCTGAAGGTAGCGCCAGCCCCAAAACTTGTGCAGGTCTGTGCACTTCGGGGACAGGAATTTGAGAGGAGCGTGATGCTGTCAATTCTGATAACCATTCTATCTTGCTTTCTGAATCAGATTCCCCATGTCCTTCTCGCCAGCTCAAGCTGGCCGTGAACCCCATGTTGAGTCGCAAACCCATATGTTCAGTTTATGTTCCTTCAGCCATCATTGGCTCAGAGCCTTCTCTGCATCTCTCCTCACACCACTCTCTCTCCTCTCTCTCCGCGAACCCGCGAACCCCAGCCATTCTCCTGCTGGTGGCTGACAGCAGCTTCCTCGAGAGAATCGCTTGTCCTGACGCGATACTGACTGTGCTCTTCGCCGCCTTCAATGGGGTCAACACAGGAATGACCAAGTGGTCATTGCATGTCATTGCTGTTCCCCAGTCATCCTCAATGCTCACCGGTGTCTCCCTTATTACAACACACTTCTGGCTTGCCTGTCTCATGTCTAGCAAAGGATGGGATAGGCGAATAAAACCGAGTCCTGCGCAGGAAAACAGAGGCTGTCCTTGGTTGCCGTGTTTGCAATGAGGCGCATGAACGTCACAGGAATTGTGAGGCCGAGAGGCTACCGCTCTGCTTCGTGCGCAAAGCAAGGCCAGAGTCAAGCGAGCCACGCCAGCTATGCGAGCCAAGCCAAGCTTGGAGGCCACTCTCCGCATGGGCCATGCTAACACCCATGCTGCAAGCCACTGCAAGATGTGCCAAGTTGTGCCAAGCTGTCATGTAGAACCAAGGCTTGCAAGTCAACTTGTTTGAAGGCTTCTGCATTCGACAGCTCTTGCTGACAAGGAGTGCCTGGTCCTCCAAGGCGGGAAGCTCAAACTCGCGCGCAAGCTTCAGTACGTCCAAGTTAGCAGCCTGCGAAGGGGGCAACTATTTTGGGGGGAACAGCAAGCTTTGTGCCCACAATGGGCGGGAAATCTAGCAGCATACATCTGGGATCCCTTCAGCTAGCTTGGGGACTTCAGACCCTGCGCCCCAGCGCAATCTGCTCTAGGGTCTGACATTATAGCGGGGGGTCAATCCAGACCC